AGAGAGTGACCAGAGAGAGAGACCAGAGAGAGACCAGAGAGAGACAAGAGAGAGACCAGAGAGAGACCAGAGAGAGACCAGAGAGAGACAAGAGAGAGACAAGAGAGAGACCAGAGAGTGACCAGAGAGAGACCAGAGAGAGACCAGAGAGAGACCAGAGAGAGACCAGAGAGAGAGAGACCAGAGGTATGTGTATGAAGACTGCACTCATGAATCTTCTGTTTCTTTGCTGCGGTCGTAAACGTGAAAAGAAAAGTGTGCAAAAGTTCAGTCTGTGTTTTCACCTCCGTCTCTGTTCCACTGAGATCCAGATGTTCACGTGTTGTTCTAGCTTCTCTCCAGGACTCATGCTTCACCTCTTCTTCATCACTTACAGGAACCAGCGCCTTCTCTCTCTCTCTCTATCTCTCTCTGTCTCACCCTCTCTCTCTCTTTCTCTCTGTCTCTCTCTCTAACTCTCTCTCTGAGTCTCTCTTTGCATCTCTGTCTCTCTCTCTCTTTCTCTCTCTGTCTCTCTCTTTGTCACTGTCTCTCTCTTTCTTTCTCTCTCTCTCTCTGAGTCTCTGTCCGTCTCTCCCTCTCTATCTCTCTCTCTCCCTCTCTCTCTCTGTCTCTTGGTCTCTTTCTCTGCGTCGCTGTCTCTCTCTCTGAGTCTCTCTCTCTCTCTGAGTCTCTCTCTGCGTCTCTGTCTCTCCCTCTCTGTCTCTCTCTCTATCCCTCTATCTCTCTCTCTGAGTCTCTGTCTGTCTCTCTCTCTATCTCTCTCTGAGTCTCTCTCCATCTCTCTCTGTCTCTTTCTCTGCGTCACTGTCGCTCAGTCTCTTTCTTTCTCTCTCCATCTGTCTGTCTCTTTCCCTCTCTCTCTCTAATTCTCTCTCTGAGTCTCTCTCTGCGCCTCTCTCTCTCTCTCTCTCTCTCTCTCTCTCTCTCTCTCTCTCTCTGTTCCATTAGAATGTTCAAATGTTTATGTTCTGCTCCGACCGTGAGTCAGAGCTGATGAGAACACTCTGCTCCAGTCCTGACCCACTGACCCCTGCTGCTGCTGCTGCTGCTGCTGCTGCTGCTGCTGCTGCTGCTGCTGCTGCTGCTGCTGCTGCTGCTGCTGCTGCTGCTGCTGCTGCTGCTGCTGCTGCTACTGCTGCTGCTACTGCTGCTGCTGCTGCTGCTGGACTTTGGAAAGGCAGGAGTTCAGGTCAGAGACTTCTGGCAGCAGCGTGTTGATAGGATCAGTCTGTCTGCTGATAAAGCTCCACGCGTTCCCAAACGTGAGCTTTCCAAATGTTCTGTTTCGTCTGAGCTCATCCGTGTCACAGAAACATGATGGACACAAAACACACACATTACGACATTTGTGTTGAGAAAATTGGATGTTTTAACCCTTTGCCAAAGTTGCATAATCCAGGTCTCTCTGAACAGCAAGCTGGCTCCCTACGACCGTCTCTCTACATATGTTTACAGCATTTTTCTTCTGTGCATTTCTGTTTTTGGTTAAAGTAGCCCCTGTCTCCTTAAGTTACCGGGCGTCACCTTTTGCCTGTTTCACCAACCAAGTTTGGCACCAACAAAAAATGTTGGTGCCAAAAGGGTTACAGAGCCTCAACATTTTAGTGCCAAGAGCCATATTTGCACAGGATTAGTATTTATGCACATTAATCAACACGTGTCATACTGCAAATGTTAACTTTCGAAACCTGGGGACATTTGGTGATTTGTGATAATTGCCATAAAAATTCCACCGGAAAAGACCTCCTGTATTTGCAATTGCAAAAAGTGATCACATTTGAGCTAGTAATTGCTTGAATCAAGTTTTTTTTAAATCTCAATTTCAGCACATTCTGACTGTGTTAAAACAAGACTTTCCAATGGGACAAAGTCAGTACAGTAAGTCTGACTGTTGCTTTATTGAGTCTCATTCCAAGAGAGACATTTCTGTATCTTTTTAAAACAAGATCATTTTGCTTTGTCCCGTTGGTAAATCTTGGTTTAAGGCTCGGTTTAAGGCTTTTTGTTCTTTGTGCTCATTACAGAATCAAAATCAGAATCCTTTTATTGCCATGTGAGTAACAGGAAGTCACAAACCAGGAAATTGCTTTGGCTGTCGGTGCAAAGAAGTTAAAGCAGAATAAAAACAAGAAGGCATGCATAAATACAGATCTACATACATTTCTTCAGGTCACTATTTACAAGTGCACTAGGTGCACACAATAGAACGTCTATCTTATCTTAAGAGTGCGGTAGAGCGCAGTAAAGTGACAGTAGCATAAAGTGACGGTCATAAAGTCTGGTTTATGAAGTGTTCAAGAGTCCAACAGCAGAGGAGAAGAAACTGTTCTTGTGGCGGGAGGTTCTAGTCCTGATGGACCGCAGCCTCCTGCCTGAGGGGAGTGGTTGGAATAGTCCATGTGCAGGGTGAGAGGGGTCGGCTGTGATACGACCAGCCCGGCCTCGAGCTCGGGCGACATACAGGTCCTGCAGCGATGGAAGGCTGCGGCCGATCACTTCCTCTGCAGAGCGCACAATGCGCTCTAGTCTCTGTTTGTCCCTGACTGTGGCTCCAGCGAACCACACGGTGACGGAGGAGGTGAGGATGGACTCGATGATGGCCGTGTAGAACTGCACCAACATCTGTGCAGGCAGCTTGGCTTTCCTGAGCTGCCGCAGGAAGTACATCCTCTGCTGGGCCTTCTTGATGAGGAGCTGATGGTCGGCTCCCACTTGAGGTCCTGGGTGATGGTGGTGCCCAGGAAACGGAAGGACTCCACAGAGGTGATGGGGGAGTCCATCACGGAGGGTGGGGGCGGGGGGACAGTGCTCTTCCTGAAGTCCACAATCATCTCCACTGTCTTCTGGGCGTTCAGCTCCAGGTTATTACCACTGCACCAGGACACCAGCCGGTCCACCTCCCTCCTGTAGGAGACACCAGGACACCAGCCGGTCCACCTCCCTCCTGTAGGAGACACCAGCCGGTCCACCTCCCTCCTGTAGGCGGACTCATCGTTGTTGGAGATGAGTCCAATGAGGGTGGTGTCGTCCGCGAACTTGATCAGCTTCACAGAGTCGTGGCTGGAGGTGCAGTGGTTGGTGTACAGGGAGAAGAGCAGGGGAGAAAGAACACAGCCCTGTGGGGTTCCTGTATTTATAATCCGAGAGTCCGAGACATTCTTCCCCAGACGCACTCGCTGCTTCCTGTCCGTCAGGAAGTCAGTGATCCACCTGCAGGTGGAATCGGGCACGTTGAGCTGGGAGAGCTTGTCCTGGAGCAGGGATGGCAGGATTGTGTTGAAGGCAGAGCTGAAGTCCACGAACAGGACCCTGGCGTAGGTCCCCGGGGAGTCCAGGTGCTGTAGGATGTGGTGGAGGGCCAGGTTAATGGCGTCGTCTACAGATCTGTTGGCTCTGTAGGCGACCTGCAGGGGGTCCATTTCTTGTTGTTAAAAAACATAGGGGACACCTTTAATAAAAAATATAATAAAAAGGCATGTTATTTTATTCTTTCTTTGCAGTCCAGTACAGAATGATTTCCCTGTGAGTCACTAGAGGCCTCTTTGGGCTGTGGCAGGAGTAGTCTTCACTGATGCATGTGAATATCTGATGTTCTGATACTGCCCTACCATGATGCAATGATTGTACAATGTACAATAGTTCAGGAGATATATTAAGAGTGTGTGTTCGTAACTGAGATAACCAAAAGCCATGGGGTCCATCTGTCTGAACTCTAGAGACTGGTTCGTGGATTTGAATATGTATTTGAGTAAGTATTCAGGCATAGAGCAATAGACTAAGAAGTACTGACTTAAGAAAGTATAGTAAAAAGTTGTTGTGCCACATTAAATCCAATGGGCCATGAAAGACAGTTCTGAGGGCCGCATAAGGCTCGCGGGCCGCGGTTTGGACATGTCTGGTATGTGTGACTTTTGCCTGTGGTACACGCGTCCTGCAGCTTGTGTGTGTATGAGTAAAGTCCAGATGAATGAACTCTGCAGATAAACCAGGCTCTCCTCTGACCCTCTGATCCATAGGACAGGACCAGGGACCGGGGCTTTACGTTAAGAGTCCACACGTGAGATCACCCGGAGACCAGCAGGAGCCCAGGCACGTACTGCACACATAGAGCCAGGACTCACATGAGCAGTGGGACCCATGAGATGAGGCTGGAGAGCACAAAACCGTACGCACTTTAATGAAGAGTGATTTTCTCTGCATGGCCCCGTCCAAAAATAACATTTTATTATTATTATAAATTGACAGCCAGCCGTTTTTGATGATTTCACTTTCAAGACCCACAGATTATTATGTGCTGTGACTATGTGTAATATGAAACCAGATTCTGAAAGACTGGATTGTCTACTTTCATCAGCAAAAATATATTGGTTTCTAGCTAGTTTTGTTCTTCTGTAATCTGTCTCAGACAAATACGTCAATGGCAGTCAATGAGTTAAAGCTGGGGTACAGAACTTTCATGAAATCCATCATGAATCACTAGTTCCTGGCTCTAAAGCAGTTTTCTTATGCATGTATGTTTGGCCTCACACACTGTCACATCTATAGATCTGCTTTTTCAGGCAGAAACGTGAAAAAGAGAGGACCACGCTCACACAGCCAATCAGACCTCAGCTCAAAGAGTCAAAAAATGACTTAAAGGGCTCATTCTTAAGCATATACAGCTATTGAACTGTACTAAATGAACTTTTACGACGTGATTGTGTGAGGATTCATCCCAGCAGAAGGAGTTTGAAAGCAGAGCATTTAGACAGAAGGGGTGGGGGGATGTGCTCATGGCAGGAGTTCCAGGATGTGCCCCATAATTCTATTCTTGAGTAAGAAATGCAGACCACGCCTTTGGACTGTGGTTTAAAAAGAGCAGCTCCTCCTCCACAGCTGTCAGTCTGCAGAGACCTGAACCCAGACCAGAACCCAGAACAGAACCCAGACCAGGACCCAGACCAGACCCCAAACCCGGATTTTCCTCCAGAATAACCTGTAACTTGTGAAGAAAAAAAATGGACCAGAGAAAATGTGCTGCGCTGCTTCTCGTCTGGACACTCGCCTTTCAACAGGTACAAGACAGTTAAAGTCGGGGAACAAAACTTTAATGCAGTTTGTGCGACAGAAAAAGTTGTGTAAATGTGAAATATTGTGCGTGTGTTTTTAGCCTCACCCTCACGCAGCCAATCAGCTCTCAGCCCAAAGTGTCAAATAGTGGCTCACAGGGGTTCTTTCGTTCTAATAAGACGGATAATGGTTTACAACATTTTAGAAAAGACTCTTTCTGTTGAACAAACTACATGTTTATTTATGGGACTAAAGTTACGTACCTCAGCTTTAAATCCAATATGAACTCTTTCCTTTGGACTTATTTCTCTTTAGATTCTACTCCTTTAACATTAATATTATTCTCAACTTACTGGTGTGATCAACAATTATAACTTATTCTATATTGAGCAACAAGAGGGCATTCATATAAAACAAGTTATATTGTTTGATTCAAAATGTAAATCATTCCTTAAAGAACTTGTTTTTCTTCTTTTTTTTTAAATGAAATCTTCTAAACAAAAAGAGTCTTTTCAAAGTTGTGAAAAAATCAGACCAAAACATGCTTTTTTTGTATTTGATATTTTTCCCTGTGAGTCAATATTTGACTCTTTGGGCTGAGAGCTGATAGAGAAGCACTCGTATTCAGCCTCTTTTTCACTTTTCTGAAAAACTTAATCTAAAAGCCAAAAATGCATGTGTTATTATTCTGTTCTACTGTTGTGGTCTCAAAGTTACGTACCTCAGCTTTAATGTCACATACCTTAAATTTAAAGAGACATACCCCAGGTTTAAGATAACACACACCAGCTTTATATGTTACAGACCCCAGCTTTATACATTTCTCATGATTCACTTCCTGCTATAATTGTGCTGCTAAAACACAAGGAAAGGCAAGTTTATTTGTATAGCACAATTTCATACACAAGGCAACTCAAAGTGCATTAAAAGATAAGAAAGCATTCAAATCATTAATAATCACAGAACATTAAAAAGGAAGATGAAAATATAAAATCCCTCAGTTGTAGCACAGCTAAACAGAACTGTCTTTAACCTGGTTTTAAACATCGTCAGAGAGGAGGCCTGTCTCACAACTTCAGGAAGACTGTTCCAGATTTTAGCAGCATGAATCTGAAAAGCAGCCTCCCCATGTTTAGTTCTGACTCTGGGCACTAACAGGAGTCCAGTCCCCATGTCATAAATGTGTGGTGTATTGAACCTCATGAGCCTCATTGCGTTTTATCATGCTCAGGTTTAGGTTCTGAAGTAAAAGTGCAGATATAAAGTAGTATGAACAAAACTGTCACTTCCTTAGAGCTGCAGATGGACTGTCACTTCCTTAGAGGGTTGACTGAGGTATTACTTAACCAAATAAATGGTCCAATATAAAACAATTATTATATTTTCCGCTGTATTGTCTCAGGTGTGTAGCAGTCCTGTGGTCTCGGTGGGTGGATCCCTGTCCCTAATCCAGTCCCAGACCCTCCAGACCCAGCAGACCCAGCAGAGGAGCCAGCCCCAGCGGAGGAGGACCGCCCGCATGAGTCCTCTTTGGAGGATCAACAACAGCAAACCGTTCGGAGCTTACTGTCAGAACGGCTACGAGTGCTTGTCCGGAATCTGCAGGTGAAAAGATCCTCTCTCTGACCGGAGACTGGACTGGGTCTGACCGGAGACTGGACTGGGTCTGACCGGAGACTGGACTGGGTCTGACCTGAGACTAGTTTGGTTCTGATGGATTTCAAGTCTGTTTAAGTTTAAGTCATTTATGCAGGTTTAAGACTTGTTTGAAAATGGATTTATTCCAAAAAACCCACTCTCAGAGACACGGACTGGTGTGTCAAAACAACCCGGCATCTAACTTGTATTTGCGACTCAGGTGTAATTTAGACACAGTAAAAGCTCATCTTTCTCTGTGCAGACTGTTCACACTTATAAGGAGAGTCAGTGAGTCAAAAGAGGCCAAAACTACAGAGAAACACAGACATAGGTAACTAATTTTCCCTTTCTATTTTGTCTTTCAGAGGTGGATTTTGTGCCACGGTGCATCGTACCGCAACCGTCTCTGTCGTCGACTAGAACCAGGACAAGACCAGGTCCAGACCAGGACTTTGAGTGTTCCCCGTGCTTCATCGTGGGAGCAGAGTCCTGGTACTTTCACATCTCCACAGCTGAAACCAGGGTCATCTCATTTGGACCCAGTGTGAACTTATGCTTTTGAAATGTGATGAGCTCCGTGGCCCGGTCCCCCCGCCCCTTCTGTCTAAACGCTCGGTTTTCAAACTCTTTCGAATAGACTGTGACGTCTCATCTCATTGAGTGGTCTTCAGATCGGATTCAGTTCCAGCTCACATCCTTCCCGTCGACCAGGTCACGGACTCATGTTAAAATTCAGGGATTCAAAATCTTATATTTTTTTTATACTTGAGTCGAAAACAGTTTGTTTATTTTTTACATTGAGGAAGTTGTAAATAAGATTAAAAAAGATAAAATGTCTAAACAAACGGCAGATATGTGGAATCTGAGGCCTTCAACTTTAGTCACAAACGCGGCTTCAAAAATGTACCAAAGATAAAGACGAAATTGTGAAGATAGAGATCTCTCATCATCCCCCCGCCCCTTCTGCCACAACACAACTGTTATCAAACGTTCATGAAAGCTGGGATACGTCACTCATAAATAATAACACACGCCAAAAATAGATATTACTGTGAAAAACTAGAGATCGAAGCAAACAGTTTTTGAGCCAGGAACTAAAGCCATGGATTCTATCACAGAGCTCCATTGTTATGGTCTGAAAGTTGCGTACCCGAGCTTTAAAGTACACATGACACTAATGTATAGAAGCCAAACTGAGATTTATTTCTGTTGGTTTGTTTTGGAGGAAGATTGTGTCTCTGTGTGAACGACCTCAGCTCCTGATTATAACTGATTATTACTGATAACCTATTGCTGTATTTACACAAAGATTCACTGACCCAGAACACAAGACTGGACCAGGTCTCAACCAGGTCTCAACCATCACTGATCCAGGTCCGAACCAGGACTCGACCGTTTGAAAATATTTCAATGCAGTTTATAATTTAAAAGTTTAAATCAGTGTGTGGTTTGTCATATACTCGTAAAGGACTGGATCTGTACAGTACTGATGAAAAACAAAATTGGTTCGATTTAAAACAATATTCAGCAGTTTAAGCTAGTTAGCCACATTTGTATTATAGCTCTATATATTATTAGCTTCTTATTAATAATACTAACTTATTTGATTGTGACTCTACGGTTGGCCCAGGTTAACTACATTAGCCGGAGTTAACTACATTAGCAAGAGTTAACCTGAGTTTGCCACATTAGCATGAGTTAGCCTGAGTTAGCTACATTAGCATGAGAAAGCCCGAGGTAGCCACCTCAGCATCTGTGAGACTGAGTTAGCCACATTAGCATGAGAAAGCCCGAGTTAGCCACCGAAGCATGAGTGAGCATGAGTTAGCCACATTAGCATGAGTTAGCCAAAGTTAGCATGAGTTAGCCACATTAGCATGAGTTAGCCCAAGTTAGCCACCTTAGCATGAGTGAGTATGAGTTAGCCACATTAGCATGAGTTAGCCCAAGTTAGCCACCTTAGCATGAGTGAGTATGAGTTAGCCACATTAGCATGAGTTAGCCCAAGTTAGCCACCTTAGCATGAGTGAGCATGAGTTAGCTAGAGTTAGCCACATTAGCATGAGTTAGCCCAAGTTAGCCACCTTAGCATGAGTGAGTATGAGTTAGCCACATTAGCATGAGTTAGCCCAAGTTAGCCACCTTAGCATGAGTGAGTATGAGTTAGCTACATTAGCATGAGAAAGCCCGAGGTAGCCACCTCAGCATCTGTGAGACTGAGTTAGCCACATTAGCATGAGTTAGCCCGAGTTAGCCACCGAAGCATGAGTGAGCATGAGTTAGCCACATTAGCATGAGTTAGCCAAAGTTAGCATGAGTTAGCCACATTAGCATGAGTTAGCCCAAGTTAGCCACCTTAGCATGAGTGAGTATGAGTTAGCCACATTAGCATGAGTTAGCCCAAGTTAGCCACCTTAGCATGAGTGAGTATGAGTTAGCCACATTAGCATGAGTTAGCCCAAGTTAGCCACCTTAGCATGAGTGAGCATGAGTTAGCTAGAGTTAGCCACATTAGCATGAGTTAGCCCAAGTTAGCCACCTTAGCATGAGTGAGCATGAGTTAGCCACATTAGCATGAGTTAGCCCGAGTTAGCCACATTAGCATGAGTTAGCCCGAGTTAGCCACATTAGCATGAGTTAGCCCAAGTTAGCCACCTTAGCATGAGTGAGTATGAGTTAGCCACATTAGCATGAATTAGCCCAAGTTAGCCACATTAGCATGAGTGAGTATGAGTTAGCCCAAGTTAGCCACCTTAGCATGAGTGAGCATGAGTTAGCCACCCAAGCATGAGTTAGCCCAAGTTAGCCACAGTAGCATGAGTTAGCCCAAATTAGCCACAGTAGCATGAGTTAGCCCAAATTAGCCACATTAGCATGAGTTAGCCACATTAGCAAAAGTCGGCCAGTGCTCAAATGGATGGCTTAAACATGGCCTTTCCCAGTTTACTTATGCACATTTCTCAAGTTCATGGGTCTAGTTCTTTCTTGTTTTGGTTCCCCCTCTGTTGTTGATCTCTTGGGCCAAAGCTTTTGTGACTTTTTGTAATTTTGCCTGTGAAGCTTTGCACCAAATGTTTTTGCACACGATTTGAAACACTTTTGAATGATTTTGTGGAAGGAGAGCGAGCACTTTTTGATCAGGTTATCTTTGTACTGTGACTGGACGTACTGTAAGAAAGTTCTTGAGAAATGTGGAGAAGAACGTTTGAATAAAAATTTAAACAGAAATTGTGTCAATGTGTGTTCTTCACGACAGGGGATAGCAAAAAAATACATACAGGTTTTATTTCGAAGGGTTTTACTTTAAACACCAGAAAAAGTAACACACAACTGTATTTGAGTACCTTTTTAAGACGGAAAAAATAAAAAGTGGGGCTTGCAGTGGCATAAATGGATGGAGAAAAACTAACAGTGCTATCAGCCTGAAATGCCCCAGCCCCAGTGTCAAACATGGTGTGGCTGCTTTTCTTCAGCAGGGACAGGGAAGAGTGTCAGAGTGAATGAAAGGTGGTTGTTTTAGAGCTACAGTGGATTGGTTTAAACATTTTCATGAGCATCAAACTGCTGCTCATCTGTTCTTTCATTAAAATATTTGTAATTATGGTTAACCCAAATGAAATGGGAATAATTAATAGTTACCTAATGTAACTTAAGGTCTACGAATAGGTGCGTAGTCCTAAGGGACGTAGCACCATGACGTAGAACTGATGCAGAAAGAATGACTGAATGAGTGAATGATAAAGTGTTGTGTTGTTGATAGACAAACAGATGGATGCATTTTCATATTGTAATTTTTTTAAAACAATCAGATCTCAGCATAGACCTTCAGAGAAAAATAAACAGAGAGAAAATGTGTTTCTAAAACAAACAGACTGGACTGAGCAGGTGCATATTAGCGATAAAATACCGATTAAAAATACTGATCGAAAATACCGATCAGATACCGGTCGAATCTCTCCATCTCTTATCTGTAAGCGCTTTTTGCTGTGTGTGTCTGTGTGTGTACTTTTCTGTGTGTGTCTGTGTGTGTACTTTTCTGTGTGTGTCTGTGTGTGTACTTTTCTGTGTGTGTTGCATGAACAGGGGAGATAGACTCTTTATGTTCAGATGCACAGCTTTAAACTGTGTCACTTATTTTGCTGTGTGTGTGTGTGTGCGTATGAGGTGTGTGTCTGTGTGAGTGAGTGCGTGTATGTGTGTGTGAGTATAAGGTGTGTGTCAGTGTGAGTGAGTGCGTGTATGTGTGTGTGAGTATAAGGTGTGTGTCAGTGTCATATTGCTCATGAGAATCTTTCGCTCTTCGCCCTCACCCTGACTGTGGATCCTGTTTTAAATCTGCTGCTGTGAAAATCTGAAACAGACTCTGAGCACGTCTCTGTTCTCAGCTCTTTAAAGCTGGGAAACCTTTTTCTTCAATAATCCAAGCCTCTTGTCCGAGTAGGAATCTGTTTTCATCTCATTAGAAAACACGTGAGAAGATCCCTGTGAGTCACTATCCGACTCTCTGGGCTCTTTGGCTGGTCCTGAAAACCAGATCTGAAGATGTGACAGAGACATGTCATCTGTCACACTGCGCAACAAACACATTTTCTTTGGTCAGACACAGAATACTTGTCTTTTTTATGTGTTTGAGCCAAAAGGATTAGCTGTGGTTGGAGGAACAGGAACACACACATAGATACACACAAACACACTAACTTGTGTGTGTCTCCTACAGGTTGAAGATAAGAATCTTCATTGATCTCACAATGAAGGACTTTACAAAGTCTGGAAAGCGAGCTGAGGTGTTGGCCCATGGACCTGACTGTTCCATCAGGAGGAGGAAGGAGGAGAAGTAAGTAAGTAAGTAATCTTTATTTATATACCGCCTTTTCACTGCAGATCTGAGTCTCAAAGCGGTTTACAATTGTTAATTTTTGGGCATTTGTCTCTCACTCCACACAGAGATGGGAGCGGGGCCAGTACAGGAGGCACATGCCAGAACTATTGGACATATTTTTAGTGGTAGGGGAAACCAGAGTACCCGGAGGAAACCTACGCAGACACGGGGAGAACATGCAAACTCCACTCAGAAAGGCCATGGTCCGACCGGGATTCGAACCCATGACCTTCTTGCTGAGAGGCGAGAGTGCTATCCACTCAGCCACCGTGCCGCCCCTGAGAACTAATTGAAACTCTGATCCAGAGCCTGGATAGAAATGAAAGTGGGAACAATGGGCTTCCAGGGCTTAAAATGGCTGCCTAACTGCATTCAGGTGTGTAGTGTAGGAGGGCGGGCAGCTGGGGGTGTGTTTGAGGGATTTCTCACACCACACTGGTCGCGTAGGTCGTGTTGGTCACGTAGGTTGTGTTGGTCGCGTAGGTCGTGTTGGTCCTGTTGGTCATGTAGATCGCGTAAGTCGTGTTGGTCGTGTTTGTCGTGTAGGTCGTGTTGGTCGTGTTTGTCGTGTAGGTCGTGTAGGTCGTGTTGGTCGTGTTTGTCGTGTAGGTCGCGTAGGTCGCGTAGGTCGTGTTGGTCGCGTAGGTCATGTTGGTCGTGTTGGTCGCGTAGGCCCTGTTGGTCGTGTTGATCGTGTTGGTCGTGTAGGTCGCGTTGGTTCTGTTGGTCCTGTTGGTCATGTAGGTTGCATAAGTCGTGTTGGTCACGTTGGTCGTGTTTGTCGTGTAGGTCGCGTAGGTCGTGTTGGTCATGTTGGTCCTGTTGGTCGTGTTGATCGTGTAGGTCGTGTTGGTCGCGTAGGTCGTGTTGGTCGCGTAGGTCGTGTTGGTCATGTTGGTCCTGTTGGTCGTGTTGATCGTGTAGGTCGTGTTTGTCGTGTAGGTCGCGTAGGTCATGTTGGTCCTGTTGATCGTGTAGGTCGTGTTTGTCGTGTAGGTCGCGTAGGTTCTGTTGGTCGCGTAGGTCCTGTTGGTCGTGTAGGTCGTGTAGGTCGCGTTGGTTGTGTTGGTCCTGTTGGTCATGTAGGTTGCATAAGTCGTGTTGGTCACGTTGGTCGTGTTTGTCGTGTAGGTCGCGTAGGTCGTGTTGGTCATGTTGGTCCTGTTGGTCGTGTTGATCGTGTAGGTCGTGTTGGTCGCGTAGGTCGTGTTGGTCATGTTGGTCCTGTTGGTCGTGTTGATCGTGTAGGTCATGTTGGTCGTGTAGGTCGCGTTGGTCACGTAGGTCGTGTTGGTCGCGTACGTCGTGTTGGTCGCGTAGGTCCTGTTGGTCACGTTGGTCCTGTTGGTCGTGTAGGTCGCGTAAGTCGTGTTGGTCCTGTTGGTCATGTTGGTCGCGTTGGTCACGTAGGTCGTGTTGATCGTGTTTGTCGTGTAGATCCTGTTGGTCGTGTAGGTCGGGTTGGTCACGTAGGTTGCGTAGGTCGTGTTGGTCGCGTAGGTCCTGTTGGTCGTGTAGGTCGCGTTGGTCGTGTAGGTCATGTTGGTTGCATAGGTCGCGTAGGTCGTGTTAGTCGTGTAGGTCGTGTAGGTCCTGTTGGTCGCGTAGGTCGTGTTGGTTGTGTAGGTCGCGTAGGTCCTGTTGGTCGTGTTGGTCATGTTGGTCGCGTAGGTCGTGTTGGTTGTGTAGGTCGCGTAGGTCCTGTTGGTCGTGTTGGTCGCGTAGGTTGTGTTGGTCTTGTAGGTTGTGTTTGTCCTGTTGGTCGTGTAGGTTGCGTAGGTCGTGTAGCTCGTGTTGGTCGCGTAGGTCCTGTTGGTCGCGTAGGTCCTGTTGGTTGTGTTGGTCTTGTAGGTTGTGTTTGTCCTGTTGGTCGTGTAGGTTGCGTAGGTCGTGTTGGTCGTGTAAGTCGTGTTGGTCGCGTAGGTCCTGTTGGTTGTGTTGATCGTGTTGATCGTGTTTGTCGTGTTGGTTGTGTTGGTTGTGTTTGTCGTGTAGGTCGTGTTGGTCGCGTAGGTTGTGTTGGTTGTGTGTGTCGTGTAGGTCGTGTTGGTCGCGTAGGTCGTGTTGGTTGTGTTGGTCGCGTAGGTCGTGTTGGTCGCGTAAGTCGTGTTTGTCGTGTTGGTCGAGTAGGTCGTGTTGGTCGAGTTGGTGGAGTTGGTCGTGTAGGTCGTGTTGGTGGAGTTGGTGGTGTTGGTTGTGTAGGTCGTGTTGGTTGTGTAGGTCGTGTTGGTTGTGTAGGTCGTGTTGGTTGTGTAGGTCGTGTTGGTTGTGTTGGTCGCGTAGGTCGTGTTGGTCGCGTAAGTCGTGTTTGTCGTGTTGGTCGCGTAGGTCGTGTTGGTGGAGTTGGTGGTGTTGGTTGTGTAGGTCGTGTTGGTTGTGTAGGTCGTGTTGGTTGTGTAGGTCGTGTTGGCGATCCTGAGCGTCCGGCTTCTGGTGTCTGTGGACGTCTTTAACCTCCTAGTGGGTTCAGCATCTACAGCTAGTTATGTTAGTTAAGAAACATAGCTACTACTTATTTGTATATAGTGTATATATTGTGTGTGCTCCCTGTGTGCTCTTACTACTGTCCTATATGTGCGCTGCAACATCGAAATTTCCCCACTGTGGGACGAATAAAGGAATTCTTATGTTAACTTATAGTGATGATGTCTATTGCGTCGGGAGTGTCGAGGCAGACGAGGAGGGCCAAACAGAGAGGCTGCTGGGAGTCCTGCTGCTGTCACCTACGCCCTCATCTGTGTCCCCGACTCCATCCTCGACCTCCTTCACTTCTTCTGCAATGGCTTCCCTCAGATCGTGGAGGAGGGGGGGGGGGGGGGGCAGAGGAGGTAGGAGCAGAGGAGGAGGAGCCAGAGGATGCAGGAGCAGAGGAGGAGGAGGGGCCAGAGGATGCAGGAGCAGAGGAGGAGGAGGGGCCAGAGGATGAGGTGGGGCCAAAGGAAGAGGAGGGCCCAGAGGAAGAGGAGGAGGGACCAGAGTAAGAGGAGGGGCCAGAGGTGGTAGTTGTTGGGAAGTTTCTGCTTTGAAACCGCTGACTTGATTGAGGGGCACGGGTTGGCATGGGTCAGCACGGGTTGGCACAGATGGTGGGATGAGACTGTCGCAGGTCATCCACCAGACTAAATTTTCACTTAACACTAGGACTCCCAGAGCAGTCATTTTGGCGGCTCCCATTTAAGTTAATAGAACTCTGAAAAAAACTAAAAATAAAAGTTTTACATTTTCACAACTTTTATTACAGTTTAGTAATTCATACATTTTTTAAAACATCTTTAAAGACTTTTGCATACAACTGAAATACAACAAAACTATGCTGCAAAACTGATACATTATGAGGTAATAACTGCTTGAATCGAGTGGTTTTTATCTTAATTTTATCTTAATAATTCATCAATTGGACAGTTTAAAAGTTAGTTTAAAAAAAAATTCTGTATTTTCTCATTCTCATTCTTGTATCTTTTCAAAACAAGATCATTTAGCTTTGCCTCGTTGGTGAATCTTGTTTTTGAGGCTCAGTCACAATGTGCAAGACACATTTTGCCAATTTTGAGAAATGTTTGGCTTGTTTTTCATCACTTTTTGCAGAGAAAGACGGAACACGCTGTTGAGAACTGGGAGATGGAGACTGATTAGAACTGGATCATGGACTCGGACTCGAACTTCAACAGCCACATCAGAAACATCAGCAGCGTTTTACCATCTGAAAAAACACCTGGAAATTCTTATCCATGCTTTTTAGACTGCTGCAATGGTCTTCCCACTGCTCTCTTCAAACATGCTGGAAAAATACTGCAGCTCGAGTCCAGACTAGAACCAGGAAGTGGGATCACATTAGTCCAGTTCTCAGGTCTTTGCTTCCTGTGGCTGGTCCCAGAGTCAGGGCTAAACATGAGGAGGCAGCGTTAAAATCTGGATCAGTCTGTCTGAAAATGAGAGACAGGATTCTTCTCTGACAATGTTCAAGTCACTGTTCTACAACTGAAGGATTTTATCTTTACTCTTTTTAATGCATTGTTGATAGTAAAGTAATATTTTAATTCCTTTTGTGATTTTAATGTGTCATGTTAATGGTTTTTGTTTAACGTGATTATTTGTGCTTTGTGCGGACTGTGAAGTGCTTTGTGTTGCCCTGTGTAGGAAAAGCGCTCTATAAATAAAGATTGATTAATTGAATGATAATGTCACTATCATTTAAACATAGAAAATACTTTTAATTGACAAGAAACAACCAACGCACAATGAGAGAGGAAAGTGTTTGTGTTTCTTTCCTAATCTGTAAAAACATGCTGCTACGTTCCTCTAGTCTCCTGAAAGTTACAAACAGGAGCTTCAGCACGAGTTCTAAAACATGAAAAACCACAGAAAATATTCTGAAGATGTGGTTGGAAGGAGCGCTGAGTGTCGGCTCTCCTCATTGGACGGCGCAGGACCCCCCCGGGAGGAAGTCCTGCACGTAGTTGGCCACAGCTTTGGTCAGATACGTCATGCTCCCGAAACGTCCACTGGGGGCGCTGTCGTACAGCAGTCTGCAGACTCCTGTGGACGGGTCTCTGTCCAGCACGGCCTCCTCTGCACCGAGGTCCTTCTGCAGAGAGGAGGCCAGGTTATTTATATAGCACACCAGAGAGGAGGCCAGGTTATTTATATAGCACACCGGAGAGGAGGCCAGGTTATTTATATAGCACATCGGAGAGGATCTTTGTGTAAATATCTAACTAAATAATAGTTTTTGGTTCTTTGTATAAACATGAAAGTGAAAAGGGACCAGTAGATGGAGGATTAAGAACAGCCGGTGACTCACTTCTTACAGTGATACAGTAAATCATGAATCATTTTGCCTTCACCTCCAAGTTGCCTGTTACTTTGGGTGTTACGTCACCTGGTCTTTGTAGAACATGTCGTTGGCCGCGTGGACGATCTTCTCCACGTGGATGATGGAGCCGATGGAGCTGATGTCCACGTCTGCCAACATGGTCAGCACCAGGATGGCCTCCACCAGCAGCTGCCTGTACTCCGGCTGAGGGACCCGGTTCAGGACCGTCTCTACATGGACCGAGAACTTAATCTCTCCAGGAGTCATCTGCAGGAAGAGGAGAGAGGAAGAGGAGGCAGAGGAAGAAGAAGGCAGAGAAAGAGGAGACAGAGGAAGAGGAGGCCAAGGAAGAGGAGGCCGAGGAAGAGAGAAGAGGACAGAGGAAGAGGAGATCGAGGCTGTGTCCCAATGTCCACCAAAGACTTTGGTTTGGTTTCACCAATCAGAAAGTCTGCCAGAACTCAGTGTCAAGCGAATCTCACTGGTTAAGTACCATGTGGCGCAGAACTAAAAAAGGTTATCTCGTTATGATTTCTTGTTAGGATTTCTATCTTCGTGAAAAAGGTGTTGGTTATAGATTTGTTGTTGATTTTATGGTCCCAGCTGGATTCGTCTGCATATCTGGCAACCTGAGTCAGGGAGAGTGGTAGAGGTTGCAGCACCACTTTTGGCCAGATTTTTACATACCGTTCCTTTAATTAATCAAAAGCAGAGAACACTGATTTTTTTCACATGGACTTTCAGTATATCATTGAACAATGACTGCATTTGTTCAACCAAGGTAAACACACCAGTGCAGTTGTTGCCAGAAGTGTAGCCATTGCTTATTTAGAAATAATACATTTCAAAGGATTTTAAAATATTCTTGTGTAATCAATTTAACTTAATTGACGCATTAAGTCCGGCCCTAGTTATAACAGCTTGTCTATCTGCTTTCTTCCAGTCGTGTTGGTACCTCTCTGGTGGTGGAGGACGGCAGGACGAAACCCTCGATGGACAAGCCGTGGCACTGAAAACACAAACCAGTTTAAGTAAAAGTAGCACAGATCCATCTTCGCTTCTTAAAGTCTGTAGTGATTGCACCTTCTGTAGAATCTTCCAGACTTTCTGATAGAAGCCGACTGGGACCCTGTTGAGAGCCCCATCCAGGCGCCTCCTCCGCAGCCACTGCCCGTGTCGAGTGTCCTTCACTGGGGGAAAGGATTCTGGGATGTCCAGGGACTCGATGGAAGGCAGGCGGTATCTCTGCATGAGGGAGTACAACTTTAGAAACCGTTTTAGATCAATAATGAGTTCTCTAAAGACAGTGGCTTCTAAAAGTACCAATACAACTTTAGCACATTTTGTCAAGTTACAACCACAAACATATTTCTTGAAAGACCACAGCAAAGTAACAGACAACTGTGAGGTAAAAGCAAAACGATATATGATTTTTATTTTTGAACAAAAATAAAAAAACTGGAAAGTGGGATTCCACAAGATTTAATTTGTCTTCAATTTTCACTTGGATTTAGGTCGGGCTCTGACAGGACATAGAGCTTTCTGAATTCAACATTGTCCTGTATTTTGCTCCATGCACCTTCCATCCACTCTCACACTCTCTCCTGGCCCCGTTAAAGAAAAGCAGCCCCACAGCATGATGCTGCCCCCCAATCTGATACTGGGGATGGTGCACAGTGGCTGACAGTGTTGGTCTCATAGACTTTAAATATTAACGGATGTAGTCATGCCTATCTCTGCCGTCACTTTTGCCTTCTATGGGGCTTTTCAAAATGGCGGCGTGGGCAGGATTATGTGAAAAAACGCATTTGTGCCTGCGTCAGTCGGCACTAGCCCCATTCATTAAACGAGTGCTTTAAGAATTCCACAGCGACTAAACTAGACTGGTCACTGACACACATGTGGAACTGATGGACCAAGAGCCGACTTTTGGACCATCCTGTAAAGCCATGTGAGTGACATGTTAGTCCCATATGAACCAGCGCGGACTCTAGGGAGCACAGGGACTGGACTCCTGTTAGTGCCCAGAGTCAGGACTAAACATGGGGAGGCTGCTTTTCAGATTTGTGCTGCTAGGATTTGAAACAGTCTTCCTGAGAATGTGAGACAGGCGTCTTTTCTGGCAGTTTTCAAGTCTAGGTTAAAACAGTTCTGTTTAGCTGTGCAAACAACTGAACAATTCTGGCTTTAGGTGCACTATGGCTATTTATGATTTTAATTACTTGTGTGATTTTATTTTTGTTTTTAATTTTAATTTAATTTTGTTTTTAATTTTTATTTTGTTTTTAATTTTCTTTCTTTTAATTGTATTTTAATGTCTATGTAGATTTTAATGCCTACGATTTATGCCTGATGTGATATGGGTTGTGAGGCGCTTTGTGTTGCCTTGTGTAGGAAAGGTGCTCTACAAATAAAAGTTGATTGATTGATTCAATTCAAGAGGTAAGAAGATATTATACATTTAATTTAATAATTCTTATTCCGGGTCCACCCCCATCGGCCCGGGGTGGTATTGCAGCATGTCAGCGCACGTCATTTTCGAGGCGGGACCCGCCCCCACTGGTTGGTCTCCATGACTGTGTCCCCCATGTGACTTCTGAAAACAGAATTTATTATGTCTTTCTTTCAACACTTTCTTCCACCCGTAAAACTAATATAAGTCCCAGATTCCCTCAGGTGAGCTGTAAATGTTAATTTATGACCAATGCTTTCATTGTTGGGGCTGTTAGTTTAGGTGGACGGCTGTGTCTTGGTAAGTTTGCAGTGGTGTTGTACTTTTTCCATTTCAAAAAATGGACTGAACAGTTCTCTATGAGATGTTCAAAGACAAAATGTGCAAATGTTTAAAACAGTAATGTATTAGTACTTTCTAAACCACTTCATATGATAAACAGCATGTTAAGTCATCTTTAAACCCAAATGGTGGAAAATTCCCAGAAAAAAGCATCACAGACACAAGCGTGTGGTGGACCCAAAAAAGTTAGGAAGAAAATAAAAATTGAGATGTGAAAAGTGTTCACCCCGGATTCGATGTTGTCCAAATCCAGCGACTGCGAAATCAAACTCTGTAACAACAAAACACGGCTGTATAATTATAAGCGTTAAAAAGGTGTCAGTCGATGAAATGTAGATTATTGATTTTATGATGAAGAGCCAAAGTCCTGTGGGTAAAAACATGCGGGCGATTAAACCAGGAAAACATTTTTCAAACGGTTAGATTTTCACACACAAGTATATTTTGTTACAGTATTCAGTTTGCACAGAATCAAAACCCAAAATTACAATTGAATTAATAAATGCAAAAACACACATTTAAAAACACCCCTATTTAAAAAAAAATGTCATCTGTAAAATTAAAAGGAATTACGGAAAATCCATGTGATAAAATTATCTATACCAAAAGTTTATGACCAAACCTTACGACGCCAGAAAAAAAATTGGTCGGACTGAAAGAGAAATAAATAAAGTTTAAAATGCTGAAAATCATTTGAGATCTATAGTTTTTTGCAGAACAGCGTTAGTGGAGATTCTTACTGACACCAGGTTGAATCCTGGCAAATGGCAAACAAATACATTAAATATTCTCAGTTAGCCACACTAGCTTGTCTGTTAGCCGCATTAGCTCGTTTGTTAGCTCATAGCTAAAGATCCATTGTAAGTCAATGGTGTTGGTTTCACCTTCACAGATTCTGTCAGAGATGCGCTGCGCTCCATCTGCAAAACAGCAAACGCCAATAAAAACACCCTTCACATTTAGTTTTCATTTTTCCAATTTCAGATGTTATCTGGGATTTTGGAAAATTTAAATAAAACTAAATTTGACTTGACTTGAAATAAAGCAAACATGATTTTATCTTTTTCTTCCAGAAAAACATTTGATAGATTAATTGACAAACAACCAAACTCTGACAGCCCTTAGAAAGAATTATAAGTTAAATTTGAAAGAATTTAAAATAATGAAACTGGAAAAGTTCACCTCCTGAGCTGAATATGTGAAAGATAATCTCGGCTCCTGGACACACAAAAAACATTAATTTAAGGTTACTTTATCTCTTAACAACTTAATTTTAATTACCCTAGTTAATAAAAAAGGAAAATGTTAGAAAAAGAGCCAACAAATTAAGATTGTATTTTATTCAGATTACTTAATTATTTATCTATAATTACATAAAATGTATTTATAAAATATTAAATAATAATATCTAATGTAATTATATAATTTATATATTTTCAATGAATGAAAATAAGTAAATTTTGATTGTATTTCATAATCTTTTCAGGGAGAGTATTATTTGGGGAGATTGTGCAGTAGTTTTTAAAAAAGAATAAGAAATTTGAATGGTTTATAAATAGGTCGTGCAAAATAAAACAAATTCATAAATAGAAATTAATAAATAAATAAATTAAAATCAAACATACAATAAAATAAAATGTAAATAAACTGTAAACTCTCCGTGGTCACCTTAAACGAGTCAGTGGGAGAAAAGTGCTGCTCGACCTGAAACAAACCGCATCAGAACAAAAAACCTCAAATATTTACTTCAAAAAGAAATCATAAAATAAAACAGAAACAAAAACACCAACGATTTAAAACCAATTAATGTAAAATGTAAAAAAACAAATAAAACCAAAGGAATAAGGATTTAAAAATGTTTTATTTGGTCTATTATAATAATTCACCTAAAGATAAGGTTTATTTTTGGGTTATACATGTACATCCCACATCCATAAATTATACATATGAAATTATAAGACCAGGATTTAAAACCAGTTATCTACTAAAAGGAGCGTTCTATTTCATCCTTCCTGACCGCCAGAGGCGGTGCTTAAGCACTGGATGATCATCCTCGCGCATGCACAGATCGAGAGTCAAATAACAACAAAGTCACCCGTGACCTCCGGTAGCTCACGCGAGAGTCTATAAAGCCACGTGACACCGGAAGCACAGTCCCTTTTCACTTTCTCGCATGCAGGTTGTATGAGTCTGGCTGAAGCTAACTGATAGCTGTTTGTGCCTGTTGTTCGCGCCGCTTGCTGCCTGTAGCCCCGTGACTGCTCGTCGGTCGGTGCTGCGAGTTTCTCGCCCTCCGTGGGCTGCGCAAGCCGCGCTGCTTGCCTCTGGTGAGTGTTTGTTTTGCTTATTCGCCGTGACTTGTGCTCGGTTGTTTTTCGTTACTTCTTATAATTGAGGGGTTACTAGTGGCGTTTCTGCTCGACCCGACCCTGTTATCTGGCTGTTTACCTGCGCGTATTCAGAGTGTGTTTGGTGGGTTACCAGTGGCGTTCTGCTCGACCTGACCCTGTGTCTTGTTAATTACCTTGTTAATTATTTGTTAATTTCTGTCGGTCACTGGTGGCGTGTCTGCTCGACCTGACCCTGTTGAATTGGCTGTTGCCTGCGCGTGTTCCACGTGTTTCTGCGGGTTGTAAGTGGCGTCTCTGCTCGCACTACCCTACTATATTGGTTGTTCCCTGCACGTGTACGGCGTTCGGTGGGTCACTAGTGGCGTCTCTGCTCGACCTGACCTTGCTGTATTGGTTGTTCCCGGCACGTGTACGGCGTTCGGTGGGTCACTAGTGGCGTCTCTGCTCGACCTGACCCTGCTGTATTGGTTGTTCCCTGAACCTGTGAGGCGTTCGGTGGGTCACTAGTGGCGTCTCTGCTCGACCTGACCCTACCGGGAGTGCCCCTGTACTTGGCGGCGACTGCTCCTGCGCGTTAGCTCGCTGGGATGCTTGAGCCGTTGGCCTGCCAGTCCTGTCTGGCCCCGATGCAGCAGGACGATGGCCATGTGCTGTGTCCCTCCTGTCTGGGTGTGGGCCACCTGCGGGAGGCGCTAACCGAGCGTGCATGTCCCGATTGTGCGGTAATGCCCTGGCCGGTGCGCGTGGCCCGCCTGTCGGCCCTGGACGGACATTTCAGTGGCGATTCTGGGGACTGTGAGTCTGCCCTGTTGGTTGACCGACCCCCTGGTCGCAAACGTGAGGGCGCCCGGGGTGATGACCCTCCGCGGAAGAAGTCGAAGTCCTCTGGTCGCGGGGTTCTGACTTCGAAGGTCGATTCGCTTTCTGTGGAGTTGGCTCAGTTGCGGACCCTCCTTCATGACCTTCAGGCTGGTACTGGCCAGTCGGTGGCCCGACCGGTCTCGGTCCCTTTGTCGGTGTGCGATGAGGATGATGCTCTCTCGGTGGCGGCATCTGACACACATTTTCGGCCGGGCTCTGATGTTCTGAGCTCCAGGGTCTCGGAGTCTGGTTCGGTGGGTTCTGTCGGGTCTCTGTCGGTTTCCGATGAGCCCGTGACTGCGGCGATCCGAACGGCTCTGGCGCATTTGAAGCTGGATGTGCCTCAGTGCGATGCGGGGCCCTCGAGTGCCTTCTTTCGCCGCCAGTCTGCGTCCTCGGGGTTCTCTGTTCCTCCTTCGGCGGAATATGTCAAGGAGCTACATGCCTGTTGGACTGACACGAGGGTTTTTTCTAGGCCCAATTCGGACGGTCGGGCCCTGGCTTCTATGCAGGCGCCTGACAAAGTTGGCCTGGGGCATATGCCGGCGGTGGAGCCTGCCATTGCCTCCTTGATTGTACACCCTGAAGAGGCTCTGCGCACTAATGCCCGGTGCCCTCGGCCGCAGTGTCGGGCCACAGATGACCTGCTCTGCAAGGCCTATGACATGGGGGCCCGCATGGGCCGCATTGGGAACTCCCTGTCTCATCTGCTGTTGGGGCTGTCCGCTTCTCTGGAGGCTGTCACATTGGACCAGTCCACGCAGGGGATGGTGGATGCTTCCTTGCAGGCTTTTGCCTTCATGTCTAGGGAACTGGGGCGTCTCCTCTCTACGCTGGTTCAGACTCGCCGCCAGGTGTGGTTGGCGCAGTCCCCTCTCTCCGAGGCCAGCCGCAGAGTGTTGAGGAGCGTTCCTGTGCTCCCTGGAGAGCTGTTTGGCTCGGCTGCCATTGCGGCTCTGGAGCGCACGGTCCAGGCCACTCAGACCCGGGCAGCAGTTGGTGGGACTGCACAGGCATCCCCCGCGTGCGTCCGCTTCTGCTGCCCCTGTGCGCGGGCGGGTGGCCCCGCCCCGGAGTTTTTCTGTGCCCCGGACGGTGGATGGGCCGTCGGCTCATGGGGCTCGGCGGGGGAACTTTCCCCCGGCTCAGGCTCCACTGCGTCCCAGTCGTCGCCCCCCCAGGCCCGCTAAAGGCCGGGGTGCCCTCCGGTGAGGCGCCGGGGCCGGTGGTGGGACGGTTTACCCCGGGACAACTTGGTTACTGGAGGGCCCAATCCCCCGATGCATGGGTTGTGGCCACTTTGTCCGTGGGGTATCGTCTCCAGTTCCGCCGCCGGCCTCCTGTTCCCGGCCGGGTCCTTGTGACTGTCATCCAGGACCCGGTCAGGGCGCAGGCACTTGTCCGGGAGATTCGTACTCTACTGGACAAGGATGCCATCGTGCCTGTCGACCCCCTGCTGGATCCAGGGGGCTTTTATTCCCGTTATTTTCTTGTACCGAAAAAGACCGGCGACTTGCGACCGGTCTTGGACCTGAGGCGTCTGAATGTTTTCTTGAAGGTCCTCCCTTTCAAGATGTTGCGTGTCCGGCAGGTCCTCCAGGCGGTGTCCCCTGGGGACTGGTTCACGTCGATAGACCTGAAGGACGCCTACTTTCACGTCCCGATTGCTCCTCAGCATTGCCGGTTCCTGCGTTTTGCCTTTCAGGGGAGGCACTTCCAGTTCAGGGTGCTTCCCTTCGGCCTCTCGCTCTCTCCTCGGGTCTTTACGAGATGCGTGGCGGCGGCTCTTTCCCCGTTGCAGGCCAGGGGGTTGAGGATCCTGCCCTATCTGGACGATTGGCTGATCTGTGCCCCCACTCGCGAGCAGTCTCTGCGGGATACGCAGGCTGTGATAGAGCACGTGACCAGGTTGGGTCTGCGAGTGAACCTGGCAAAGAGCAATGTGGTGCCGTCTCAGCAGGCTTTGTTCCTGGGCATGGCTCTGGATTCCCTGTCTATGTCCGCCCGCCCCTCGCCTCGACGTGTCGGGGACATTCGGGCGTTGCTCCCGGGCTTCCGT